CTGACTAATAAAGCACATTGCGTCGTGCTTATACAAACAGCCGGTGTTATTGTAACGATTCGGGGCACAGTTCAGCGTGTCCTCGCGGTCACCCCTAACCTGAGCATTGGATTCGATAGGCGGATCCCAATCAGGGTTTTATCGTTTGGATTGGTGGATCCGTTGAGGGGGACTGAAGCGATACGTCACCTTTTAGACCTTTTAAATCATCCTCCATTGCCAAAGCTCACAAGCGGTATGGTGGGAACTGAGAAGGCCTTGGTCGAGAACCCAACGTGTTGAGCACAACGCCACGGCCCGCCGAATGTCGGGCCTCTGCATCCAGTTCCGCTCTACTAAGCAACGGCAGTCCTCGATGTTTGTAAGCAAGCAAACATCACATGCAGGTTTTGTATTTCGATGAATTCTAAAACAGAGGCTTTTGGTTTCCACATCTGGCGGGGCCAGGTTTTTTGTTCCACCAGATGGACCGCATTAACGCACCCTTTTAAAAAAAAATATCATCTTTTCATTCTCCAGCTTTTTTTTAATCAGTTTGCATCGTTTGTTTCTGGGCTGAGGCTTTTCCAATCCATAAAGGCAGCTAAAAACATGTCTGTGTTCACGTTTCCTTGTCTGTTCATCTTTCCTTTGTTTAGTGTTTTTGTTTCGCAGATGGTCCTCCTATACAGACCAGCCATGTCATTCAGTCCCTACTTCTCCTCCGGCAGGTCTTTCCGGATGGAACAGAGTAACCAGCTGACCCAGAGCTTTAGGAATGTCAACACACATGAATTATTACACTTTCCTTCCCCCCCGTACTGTATGTCACAAGGAATCAAGTGAGGAAGAGGGTCTCTCTGATTTCGTGAGAGGCTAGGTGAGAAGAAAAAAGGATGTTGTCTCTGGTGCCGTTAAACCCTGGAGTAGCAAACCAACCCTGAGCATTACCGCGTGGAGGGAGCTTGTTAAAAAAACTGCCTCGCTGTGTTTAAAACAGTTGACAGTCCCTCCGAAGCACTCGGCGTCCATTTGCGAGCTGCGGGGTCGCGACCTTCCGCCTTCCTCTTTGTTGTGGTTCAGTCGAAGTGCATAGCAGGTTGCCTTTGTTATTGGAACAAAGTTGACTGTATTAAATGACTGCCTTTGATGCCCTTTTTTTGCTTTGTGGCCGCTGTTATGGCGCACAAAGAGCGGTGACTTCATATTATAAATGTCTTCCACCCTCTGTTTCCCTCTAGAAAATGAGAGAATGAATTGCAGCCTTTACGGCATTTGGTCAAGTATTATTTGTTATTATTTTGGTTTAAGATGAGGTATTGCCGCATTGAGGTTTTCCTCCACCAGTACAAAAGCTTGGAGGTCTGTTTTTCGGCTTAATGGCCCCGTAAACAATGGCGGGTAGCACAGCAGGGGCCCAACCTGTAAACTCTGATGTAGTCAAGATACAGTTCATTTCCATGTTCTCCTGCCTCTTAGTGGCTCAACTCAATGGTCCTGTCAGGGGTATTTATTAACATGACTTCCATGTTATTCTGTGGGAATTGTACTGGAGCTACAAGAGAACATGGGGGGGATGTGACAAACATTATGCAATTTGTCAATGTGAAATAAAAGCCAGTCTGCTCCTAGTCTGACCTCACCTGACTACTGAAACGGCCCCCCCACTGGTTTCATTGAGAAACTGGTTGCAGCTTGCTTTTTCCCCCCACAGTAACTGTCATATTTGCTGCAGTCAATAATCAGGCAAATGTCCTGCAATGGTTGGAAAGCCTGAGGTGGGGTGGGGGGTTTAGAAATGCAACCACAAAACATGTGAAGTCATTTCTTTAAGGTGGTGGAATGAAAACATGATCTAGCTGTAATGTGTTTCTGGCTCTTTGTGACGAGCACATACCGTTCTCTCCACCATGTCGACACTAAGTTCTCTCTCTACCGCACTGGCTTCACCTTCTGTTGTCACTTCCTAGTGATGTCAGTCCGCCAACCTTTCCACTCAGCGCTTTGATTATGTCACAGCAGACACTTCCCCATCCAGGGCTGCTGTCATAAGCCCGCCAGGTGTTTTTAGTGGCCTATGAAGTTAATTATATATGTATATCTCTTGATCCCATCCTAAAAACACAGTGAACATGTGTTTGTCTTTTTGTGGACTATGGTTGTTTTTTATGAGGAACTTATTTAATAACCCAGACTTCAGTGTGTACCTGTCAAACATATTGGAAGGAATAATAGTCACCTTTGTTACCTCAACTGAAGCTAATACATTATATCCTTTACAATCATGGACTTCTAGACCATGTTAAAACTTTGACACACATCCCTGATCTCTTCCTTCATCTGGAAATAATCAGCTGTGTATGTGGTATTCACATGTAAACAGTACAGGTTGTCATGTTCTGACTACGTTTGGACTATGTGACATTTGCTTCCACTCATTAGCCCCCTCCGGCCGTGCGCTCTGAGGTTAGCGTTAGGGTCGGTACGGATGCACTCCCGTATGATTGGCACTTGGGAAACTCACACTTTCACACTTTGGGGATTATCCTCCATTTTTTTCCAGAATGTTCTGCCTGGAGACTCATGAGGAGATGACCTCATGATTGGATGATGGGTGTATGCGTGTGTGTGTAGTTGCATGATCACAAAGTTCAGAGAGAGATTGCGCTGGGATCTGGAAAGAGTGCTTGAGCGCCATTATATAACTATATAATAGAAAGTAATGGTTGGAAAAAGGGGGGTTTCAGCTGGCCCCATAGCCACAGTGCATGTTTGTCTTTTAAATGTATTACCCCCTGTCAATGAATAAATTGGCAAAAGGTTAATACATACAGATTGCAGAGCTGTTGGTCTGTGTTTTCTGTGTGTACCTGCTCTTTTCCAGCTGAGCTAGTACTGCTGGTAAAGCAACCATCTTCATGTGTGTTTACGCAGACATGTTAGCGGTTGTATGCATTGATTCAAACTATAGGAACAACTGTGTGCCGTGGTGTGTTCTATTCTCATTGTTTCTTTTCCTCCGGTTGTGTTCCCCATTATCCATTATTCCACTTGTAAGCACATCTAAATATAGAGCAAGAATTTGCTTAGGGGGCACTCTGTTAGTAGTGGCGGTTAAAGAGAAGACTGGGTATTTGCTGTAATTGTAAATGCATGTGTACAGCCTGAGCTTGGGAACAGAGACGTAGGGGCATTCAAGCGAGTATCTGGCCCCTGTTGGCCACTCGCTGTTCCTCCTCAGCCGCCAAGCTTGTTGTTTGTCCCCACTGACGCGGGTGCGTTTCTTGGAGTGAACATTCTGCTTTTTTGCTGAAATGCTTTTTGTCAAATACCTACCTCACCTTGGCACCCGCTTAACACAACACATATGGAGACGGGACCCGGGCCCTGTTTCTGCCCCCTCTCCCCTTGCTCGGAAAATCTTCCATTTGTACAGAAAAGAAAAGCACACATCCTGTCCTTATTAACCGATCCTATAGCAGCCCTACACATGAGCCCTGGACCAACAGGCGGGCGGGCATGCTGCAGCGTTTTATATAGCTCTTGTTCTTAGCCTTTGATGACACTGTTTAGAATAGGAAATATCTAATAAGTCAAGTATTCTGTCTAATGTGCTGCCAGTGGGTTTAGTATATGCCTGGAGGTCCTGAAACACTATCTCTGCCACAGCAATAATATACATTTAAAATGATCTTGGAGCGAGTGGGAACGAGCTATATAGAGAGAGAGATGTGGTGGGCTGGGGGGCGGGGGGCTGACAATCCATGCTGTAATAGCAACCATGTGCCGGTTGGAGGGATAGGAGGGGACCGAGCTCTCTTCTTGTACGGCTCCTCTATTTTCAATTGAAACCAACGTACCCGTTAACATGCCAGGAGGGGGGGCTGGATAGCGGACATGTTGGTGAAAATGATGAAGATTAATAAGCTGATAAACCATGTTTACTTTCTGAGAAGAATGGGGGTCTTTTTTGTGGTGTTTTTATTCTCCGCTCCAAAAATATATTCCGTGCCCATTTTTGTGAAGGCTTCTGTTTATAAGTCAGTTCTATATAAACATGTCCTGTTATTATTTGGTAGGTAGGTTCATGTGTTTGTCTCATTCTGTCCCCTGGGAGCCACTGGCGGCTTCTTTATAGTCTTGAAGATGGCACGCTTCCTAGCAGAGTAAAGATCACTGTTGCTCCGAACACAGCGACCTACTCACTTGATTTATATCTTCTGTCACTGAAAGCTTTTTATTTCCACAGCGGCTGGAACTCTCGCGCCAGTCGGAGCCGAGTGTAAAGTCTCGGCCCCTTTAGAATGTCGCTGCACGCTACGGTTGGATTTTCCCGGGCTGAGACCCTTTTCAATATTTGCAAGAAGTGCAAAATGATTTACGGGCCGTGGAAAAAGGCCCAGAGCATGCCTTTAATGTCTCTGTGGCTATACGTTCATCCCCTTCTTTGGTCAATTTGTCCATGGTTTTAATCAAGCCGGTTAATTCGGTCTGTGTCCTCCTCTAATGCCAGTATCCAAACACGAAAACAAAGAAGGGATGCTACGATTATTACGCAGCATCTTGGATTGGTTTGAGATAATGCACTTTGTTTCAAGGCAAATCAAGCTACTGCACATGTTTAAAATCTCCTTTGTCTACCTTAGATACATGTATTTCTATCCATCTTCAAAGACTCTTATATGGGGAATATGGGGGAAGATATTTGTCTGTTTCTGAGCTTCTACTTTTTCCCCGATAATGTTTTTCTCTTATATAATTTGATAACTGATGCTTCATGTTCTGTCTAGTCTAGTGTATCTACTTGAAACAAAGACAGAAATCCAAACAGAGCACACGCATCCAAACTGCATTGGCCGGTACTTAAAATACTGAATAAAGTAACACATCTTTTACATTATATTTTTTCATTATCCTTCATCTGAACATTTGCTCAAAAAGCATGAAAACTCATCCTTGTCTATAGAATACTTTCGCAGTCAAGCCCGAGTTTGAACACAGCCCGGCCTCTCTGTGCACAGGTGCGTCAATGCGAACAGAAACACGGGCGCCGTGACCCCGCGGTGGGGGCCGACTCTTCATCTCGCCACAGCGAGACCGGGCAGGACAGCGGCTTTGGCAGCGACAGCGCCCGCATCCGCATCGTACAGATAGAGCAGCAGAGCGGGGCCAGCCACCACTGCATCGCCCGGCCGTCCCGCCACTCCGCCATCACCAAGAACCTCAGCTTCATCCCCTTCGACATCTTCGTCACGGCCAGCAAGCTGTCCGTCATGACCTACGTATGCTCCAGTTCCCCGAAGGCCCCTCCCTCGTCGTCGGACACGCCCAGCACACCGGAGAAGAGAGAGCCTGGGGACAAGGTAGGCTGCAGGCCTGTCACATGGAGGCTCACTCCCTGGATTTGTTGTCCATCTTGGTATATTTTTACATAATATAATGTGTCATGTGAGCATTTCTGCGGTGTAGAAGTATAAAGGAATCATACTGCACATTTTTTAGACTTTTTAGAAATTAGAAATAACTTCTAGAAATGAGAAATTAATTTCCTGCAGTCTGCATCCATAGAACTGAATTTATTCCAACGTAATGATTTAACATTTATTCTCGAAAACTAAACAATATTTGCATCAACTCTAAGGGGGGAAAGAGTGCCCTCAACCAGCCCGAGGTCCCGCCAGTGTCTCCTCCGGTCTCGGCGTCGCCCTCTCCAGACCCGTCTCCAGCCGCCCAGGGTTCCCTCGCCGGCCTCACCGCCGAGGACATCCTCAACAGCAGCAACTCCAGGCCGGCCTCTCCGCTGCTAAAGGGCGGCCTGCTGTCCCTGGGCGGTCTGCCTGCTCCCAGCCGCTCCTCAGCCCGCCAAGCGCTGGGTGTGACCATAGTAAGGCAGCCGGGTAGGAGAGGGGTCGGGGACCAGGTGCTGGAACCCCTCCTCTACATCCAGCTGATGCAACCTTCAGCTCTGCTCAGCTGCCACCATCGCAAGCAGAGGATGGAGCTTTCAGTGTTCGACGTGGCCTTAAGAGGGGTGACCTCTGACTACAAGTGCCTAGGTAAGACAGATCTGATCGGGGAATGGTACTTGAGGGACCTGGTCTGAGTAAAGACGGTCATTTGGATCTTTTAATGTAGATGCAGTACCAGTCATAAGTTTGGATTTTCTCATTGAATTGAATGAGAAGATGTGTCCAGACTTTTGACGGACACCTACCTAAGGTACATACCTTATGTATAAGTACAGGGAATGAACACCTTTATACTGAAAAAGGAAGACTTATATAAAAAAATATATATATATAAGAAATATATAACATATAATAACATATAATAATGTTAAATACCTGGACGCCGCCCCGTGTTTGACCTTACTCACATCCTTTTATCTTCCTAAATGCTCTTATCTTTCACCCAGACCCAGGAAAGACTCTACCAGAGTCTCTGGACTACAACGTGTTTTGGCTGCAGACGGTAGCGGGAGAGTCTGACTGTAAAACGGGCATCCCGCCGCCTCTGCTCTGCCTCCAGATCAAAGATTTCCTCCATGGACCAGGTGAGGATCGTGCACACTCAAACACATCCCGCTGCTGCAAACTCTCTCAAGCTCCTTTGCTCTTTTTAAGGTAGACGTTTTCAGGACAGAAGTGCTGTGAAGCAGCAAGACAAGCAAACACGCACAAACACACACAAGCGCACGCATACACACTGATCAAAGTAGCTGTGTGGGTACATGATGAGCTGCCTCGTGTTTTTCACCGAGGGCCACTGACATCACTAGTACAACACACCGTCCTGGGTAGCGGGTTTGCTTTGCGCAGGGTTCGGTTGTCTATTTTTGGACAGATATGATGTCTATAAGAGCAGCTTTAAGCTAAGGTTGCTGACCCAAGGGTGTGGCTCACATCCTACCCAAATACTGCAGCAGTGAGTCAAAGCGTGGCGTGGGCTTTTGAGTGTGTGCAACCATGTAATCCTTGTTAGGCTTGTCATGGAGAGCGTGCGTGGGCGCAGGACATCCTTCAGAGTTCAGCTCCCTGAGTCCAGCGGGCCGGATGCTGCAGATGATACGGATACACACATACATGCATTCAAAAGCACAGACGATGCATGTCCTCACAAATGAGGCGGCTCTGGGCCTGAACGTAGGTGTTATTGACGATGGCTTGTTGGGGGGGAAGTACCCACACCCAATCCCCTCCTGCACACCACCGACATCCACCAAAAGTCAAAAATGGCTTAAACTTAACGTGATTTCACTGGATGTTTTGCGCTAGGTCACACCTGTCGTATCTCTGTTACATCATGTCATCCTACTACGGCGTCCTACACACATATTTTGTTGTTAGATTAGATGACAAATAATGATCCTCTCTTGGGATGGGAGAGCAAAGGAAAAGGTTAAAAAGAATCAGTGAACGGAAGCTTGCCTATTTGTGGAGTACATCCCTGTTCGAACCCTGAAGTATTAACATCTGTCCTGATGCCTCAGGGGAGTTCACTCCTTTTTTATGTGAAGCAAAAGCGTTGCAAAGGATGGATGCGGGGAGGATCGATGAAGACGGGATTAGGAAGACGTGCATCAGACAGCTCATTTTGCACGTGTGTTTTCATGTCTGAAGGCCCCGCTTTGATTCGACAGCTCTTCAAATTTGATTTGTTCCAACGAGGTGCAAGCGGAGAGCAGACTCGCACAAGGCCACGTCTCGCTGCGTGTTTACGCCAATGTGCTCGCAATTTTATCATTTATTCACCGAAACCAATCAGAGCTGCCCTCCCAAGGATGCAGAGTGGGAAACACTTACACTGTAAGCTGGATGGTGTTTCAGCGCTGACCCTCACAGAAACACGTGTGTATAAACACCGTTAATGCAGATACATACAGGAAGCCACATTTATAAACCAGAAGGGTTCAAGGCTTGATAAAAGGCTGTTGTGGGGTTTTTTAACACAAGCATCAGTGTCTCTTGGGTTTGGCTACTGCCCGGTTAGGGCCCCAAAGGTCTTATTAAACGTGAACATACAGTTACCGAAGTCAAAACTGACGCATATTTCACAAGCCATATATACGTGCTGAACATTCTTATACGGGTGTATAGATTCTCCAACCTGAAATTAAGTTATGCAATTAAAGTTAGCAACACCCTAGCTAAGACATTTTTGTTATTCTTAATATATTGGTTTGCTTTGTATATATCTAATGTTTGAAAAAGGAAATATAAATGGATTATATAATTATAACCCAAATTCTAATTCCATTTGGCAATCAATCTGACTGCTGATGTGCTTCTGCGGACTTTGTTAAACTATATACGAACAGGCCATGATCACAGGAGACATGGACTGTGTACTATTTCAAAGAGTTGGCAGACCCTCATCTTTGTTACGCAGCATCAGGGATTGACCAGCCAGCACACAAAACACACACACGTCCCCCCTCGTCCTTCTCATCTTCCCTACTCCGCTCCAGTCTTTGAGAGGGTCAGTGAGGGAGTCCAGAGATGTAACTGCTACCACTTGGAGACGGGGGAAGCAACAGGTGATAGATTAGCTAGAACAAATTGGAACCATTACTCTGCCGCGTCACTGGTTCCCGTCAGCCATGGGGCTCACAGAAATGTTGTCAGTTACTGTATACAAGCCTGTGCCCCTCCGAACCATCCAGAACCACTTTAATTTGAGTCAGATGCTATCCGAGACGCGTGTCACTGGCCTTACTCTGTATGAGGATTTTTTTGTGAAAGGGGGATTCTACACTTACCAAAAAAAGATTGGTCCTTACAAACACAGACATGCACACATACCCTTCACATGCGGACCCTGGGTAATTGGACACACTGGCACCTCTGTCAGACGCAGGCTTTCTTCTTGTCGAGAGTCAAGTGTTAAAGTCAGCTCCAGATATCAAAGGTAGGGTGGGAATGAAAACAATGTTTGCGGCGAGCTGTGCACAAGCACATACCCAACGGCAGGTTCAAAGTGGGGACGGCGTCATGCATGACCTCGCCGCAAAAGAGGCACGGCAACCTGGGTAATAAGAATATTTGAGGGGTGTGTGTGTGTGTGTGTGAATGCATCCGTCAGACCTTGGTCCCCCGCTTTCTCCAGCGCTAATAGAGGCTGACACCTGAGAAGGGCCGGCCTATTATTCCCCCCAGCCTGTTCACATTAAGTCCTGTTCTTTAAAAGGTATGTGAGCACCGACACAACCTCTCAACCTCCAGGCTTGATGCTTTGCTCCCTGCGCAGGAACTCACCAGCTGAAAGCAGCCAGTAGTCTTATGGCAAGTGTTCCCAATAAAAGCACTCCGATGTGCTGGAAAAGCCGCCTTTCAACTTCCCCATGGTCGGAGATGAAAGTAGCAGCTTTCAATAACTGTTATTACGTCCTTGTAATTAAAAAAAAAATCTCTCCTCCTAAAGCATTACATGCTCTTCTGAAGGAGGCATTGCGCAACATTCTGTTCTGTACTCGACAGTGTTCCAGAGGTTTTTATCAAAATGCTCTAAATATAGGATTTTCTTGCAGCTCAGTCTGTAAAACATAAATCAGTCACGGCTTGTTAATATTTTGTTTTTTTGGCTGAGGTTTTCATTTCCTTGTTTTATGCCGTCTTCGCCCTGGATAGCGAAACCACACTGAGCGCAGTTCTGTAGAAACAAGTAAATGTGAGCGTCACAGATGCACTCGACTCAAAGCCACATACTGCTCTGATGTGAGTTTATTAGACTTCTGCAAGAGATTCATCTTTTGGCATGGCTCCACTGTAGTAAAAATGTGCTTGCTGGATGAAGCCATGGGGGAAGCATGTACAGATGCTGATCCTTCTCCACTCTCCTCCATAGAGAGTGGTTTCTCACCGAGTTCACACAGCTTCAATCAGCTAAGTCGCAAACACTTTTTCCTGATGTCCTTTGACAACGTAGATTTTGCTCTTACCCTTCCGTCAAAGAAGTCAGTTAAACTGCAGCATGTTGCTTGTCTCAATAAATGAGCTGTATGCTGTACTTAATTATTTTTCCCATTGATCATAACTATTATCATTGAAATAAACCAACTGAGATCTGTTTTGAAGGAAATTGTAATATTGGTACCCGCATGATGCGCAGTTGGCCAGAAGTTTCCAGCCATGTCCAGATAAGGTCCTACCTTCGTGCTTCAGATTCCTTCATTTTCATGTTACAACTATCTGTGATGTGCATCTAAATCAGTGATGTAAATCTGCTCCCGTTTTAATACGGTAGAAAAGACAATGCCATATATCCCATATCAAGGAAAAAGGAAACCTGTACATAGCTAGCTGTATTAAACACTCCTACCAGGTGAGTTTCCGAAGAAATGGAAAATGTATCACTTACTGGCTGTGCGTTGGGGGTGGGAAGGATTGGGACGGAAGACAATTGATAATGAGGACCAGGTCCCCTTGTGCAGAGAGAAAGGCCCTGAGTGCGTGAATCAGAGACAGCTTTGTGTGATTACCAAGAAGCGGGAGGGTTTGATTAGAGTGAGGGATGGAGGGAGAGTAAAATATATAAAGAACTGAGAAAAGAAGCGCTACATGAAACCAAGGGGTGAAATGAAAGGGAGGGCGGGGGGGTCAGGAGACCTGGATAAACCTCTGCATGTGGGCTATTTCTTCCACCACTGGAAAGTTTCCTGGTGATAAGTCAAGTGGAAATGATAAGCTACATTGCACAGCAAATTCCACCAATCTTTCCTCCAATTCCCCTCTCCAGCCATCCTTCCATTTTCACCGTGTGCCTCAATTCCACTGGATTAAAGCAGAGACAAGCCGGATGGCAGAGAGAGAGTCTTTGGTGTGTGCGTTTGTGCATGCATGCCGGTCTGTCCTGGCAGCGTTCCCGCTTGTATCATCCAGCGCTCCTACCTGAGGAGGAGATGGACTGGAGGCTTAAAACCCCTCTAAACAGTGGTGCCTTGATGAGACCATGAAGAACAGCTGCTCTTGTTTTTTGGGGCAGCTTCCATTCTCCCATCATCATGACCAAGTGGAAAAATGGGATAATGGAAGTGGTGTAAAACGGCATTGAGTTAAATCAAGTGTCTCTGTCAATTCCAGTCAAGTGTTTGAAGGCTGCATTGCACAGAGAGAGATAGAGATTTGGGGGATTTAAGCGGCTGGCATGAAGAAGAGATTCTCCTCTGCTATTCTGTGGTGTCCTGTTAGGAGACAGCCAGTAATTCTATGTACATGTGCACATAAGGCGAGGAGAAAGAGAGTGGGATTGTATACAGCTGTTCTTTAACAGGTCCTTGCATGCAAAGCTGCTTGATTAGAAGAGGAGAGAAGGGTTCACTCTGATTTACTAGACATGGCAGTTTTCCAAGATCTTTCTCCGCGGGACATTGACGGAATCATAAAGTAGTGTAGTGTGTCCTGTTCATGCTGTTCAGAAGTTTTAATGGGAAAGGGCCCAAAGCCCGCAGTGGATTTATTCAGTGTTTACCAAAGATTCCGCTTTGCTCTCACTCTCTACTTCCTGCACTGTTTTATTGATCACTGAGTACAAAGTAGGAGCACAAGAGAAGCTATCCTTTTTTTTAGTTAAAGTCTTCTCATCACAAGACTTACTTATTTTTACTTGCTCTTTTTCTTTCCTTTCATCTCCCTCCACAGCTGAGCTGAATGTGGAACTGTCGCGCCCCCTCAAAGTCAACGCCACGCTGGCCAAGCTGGAGCAGGCTAAAGCCTACCTGAAGAAAGTGCTCCAAAACCCCACATCTGACGCCTCCGTTAAACCCCCGTCTGCCCCCTCCACCCCTCACTCCTCCCCCACAAAGACGCTGCCCAGGGCCTCTCGCTCGGAGCCTTTCCATCAGGCCTCTGCTCTGGGTAAAGCCAGCATCATTGAGGCCCTGGCGCTGTCCTTCCACAAGGTTTCCCTCCACACTGCCCAGATTGTGGTAGTCATGGAGACGGAGGCCCATCCAATGAGGCCCAACGTGGCGGTGACGGTGTCGGCCATGACAGGAAATCTGAACATGAAATCAGGCCATAGGATGGAAGGTGAGTAACAGGAAAACAGCTTTCATGTAAAACGCTTCACAAACATTTTTTAATACACTGTCGGAACATTTTCTATTGTTATTTTGTTAGTCAATAGATACACTGTTAAATTGACTATATTTTTTGTATTTAAATTGTATTTGTTTTAAACACAAAACTACACACATCTTGGAAGCAGAATCCCACCAGGTGGAACATGTTGAACAAGCAACTCTTCCTGCTGTCCTCCTGCACTTGTTGTGCTCTCAACTCTCACTCAACATTCGACGGCTGTGTTTCAAGTGCCAACAATCTACCGACATTTGGCCAGCACGTTTTCCAAACCACTGTCTTTTAGGGACACAGTGGTGGTCCTCTGCAGACTGTGTGCCACGCAGTGTAGATATTGAGCTGGGAGTAGCCTAGCAGCCATTTTGCCACTCATCCCACTTCTGTTTGACGCTCCGATTTAACTGACTGCAGCACGTGGCGGTTTCAGGGGTCAACTCACGCCGGAAGTAAACAAAGTTGAGTTAACTGCGTTAAAATATTTTATCGCATTAATCTCGGCGACAATAATCTCATAGATTAATGTGCTAACTTTGACAGCCCTGATTCTTATCTCAAACTTTCCAATTTAGGCGTCTCTGAGCTCAGTGAATTCCCCAAGTTATCATTCCAAAGCAACAAGGGCCTGGGCCTTAAATAACTTTGTTATATTTTTCTTAATGGGAATATAAAAAGAATTTGGTCCATTTTAAAACACTGTCACTTGTTTCAAGGAAATTCTTGAAACAGGTGGAGCTACATTGGGAACAACTGTGATGACCTCACCCCATTTGGCCTATTTCATACTCTTCTAAAGAAACCACAAGACTCAGTAATGCACTACACTAAATATACAATTATTTTTTTGTGTCATTTGCCCCGTAGCCAAGCCCACAGTGCGTGCCAATGGGAACCGATCTAGGCCCTTTGGAAATGAGTTGCACCGAGATCCAAAATACACAATATGAAAATGTCGTAGAGGACAATTGTTCTGTGTGATTTTGTAACCGAACAAATATTGAGAGCTCACTACATTTTAATATTAGTCGTATATAAATGTATCCAGAATGTGAAATACATATTGATCAATATCTTTCTCAAACTTCACCACTCTTGTCTGTTGAATAATAGCCAATGCCTTTTCTTTGGACGATTCTCTCAACCCGGAATAATAATACCTGTATTCAGTGTTTCCCCTTGGTTTCCAACTTTAGGGAGGATGCAGTCGGGCGAGCGCCACGTGCGCACATACACAGACATATTCCGGCCAGAACTGCCATACGTGGGGTGAAAAAGGGGGGGCGCCCCCCTGATATAATAGTAGAGGAAACACGGCGCATTGCTTCCAATATTATTTGGAATATCGCAATTTTTTACACAAAGCCCTCCTTTGCCAAAAACAAGGTTTTTTCAGTAAACTGTAAAGGGGGCTGTTTGTGTGAACTCGTGGATCTAAAGCTGTTGTGAGACTGCGAGAGAAAGACGTGTGTGTGTGTGCACATGCCTGCGTGTGAGATGTTTTCTTTCGTGAGATGCTTTCGTGTTAGGATCCAAGCTCTGCCTTCATCACAGTGTTTCCATTCAGACAATCACAACTGCTAATGCTAATGTAAATTCCAAATGCTCTTCTTCTCTCTTCTCTCTGCTGTTGGGTGTGAGCCGACGCGCTGCTACAGATGATCATGAACTTGTTTGTTTTCTGCTGTTGTTTTTGTCCAATTTGGACATCCCATGGAAACAGGGATAAAACAGAGTGAGGGGGCTGACATGCCACGTGAAGGAAGTAACAGGAAACACTGATGACAGTGTGCACCCCGGTGGCGCTGAGAAGCACATCCACTGTTGACTGGGGTCGCAGGGGGACGAGGACAGAGCTGGAGCCGGGCTCCCTAAGTGCCTGCATCTGTTTGACAGATGTTTTTATATTGGGTTACTTCAGATAAAATGATTGTCCAAAATGTTAATTAAAACCTCAAACAATTTGCTCTTTGTTTACATAAATCTACATAACTGCACGGTGACACAATACCCAGCGCTGCTGCCCTGCTCTGATTTTCACCATCTTTTCAGTGTCCATCCATCTTTGATGTGTTGACTTGGACACAGTTGAAACTGTGTGTGCAATGGAAAAAGAAATACAGTTTAGAGACAATTGTAATAATATGAAAGCTAATCCCCTTCCACTTACTTTGCTTTCAGATACCTCTATTATTTATACAATCCTCGTAGGAGAACACTTTTAATTGGGTTCTACCAAAACCCAGCGTTAACCATCTGTCAAAGGTTTTGCATGGAAGCATGTATGAGAAGTTATACAAAGAACCCTTTTGGGTGTAACCCTCGGTGGCGGTTCTATCCAGAACAATTCCACCTTCTAAGGTGTTCACAAGAACCAGCCGAGTGGGTCCCACCCACGGGTTTAAATGGGAACCCTTTTATATACCACAAGGTTCATCAAGAACCGAACTAGGGGATGAAACGAGAACCCGAAATTTCTTTTCCATGGGTTTCATTTAGAACCCACCCAGAGGTTGTTTACTCTCACAGTTCCCAGCTCCTTGAAACAGAGCCATCACTTCCCTTGAGACATTACACTTTTACTGGATGCAAATGGAAATGTTTGGTTCAGGACCAGTGGTGTTTATTGACATCCATTGGATCATTTATCCCCAGTTTGGCTGTAAGCTCTTTGAAATACTGTTTATTGTCACAAAAACACAATACCATGTGACTGATCAAGATGTTGTAATAACTGCTGTAAAACTAATGCCGTTGTCATGTGCTGTTCAAGTTTAGTTGTGCTACTTATATATCATATCTTAGTCCTGAAATACCTGATATGTCGTTGAGAGCATAGTGCTGTCACACCTGTACAAGGATTACCACTTGTTACATGGCACCAGAACCGGACAAAGAGAAAAATAGATTTTTAAAGCCAATTTCCGAAGTTCTGCCGCTGAACAACATGTTTGTCCCACCCTGTTGTTTCTTGTTCTTTTTTGGGAGGATACATTTATCACTCTTATAGATCTAGATAGAACACACACGGTTACTTTCCCCTGAGAGCTTCTTCACATAGTGTTTCCAGATTTGTTGCCGTTGAAAGCAGACAAACTGTCTCCAGTTACGCAGACTGATCACTAGTGACAATAGATGTATCTGCTGACTTAGCCTCAGGCGCGCCGCCTCCATCACTCAGCACACGGGCCCCTCCACCGGCTCCCTGCACCTCCCAAAACAAATACCTTGGAATTCCTTTTTTCTCTTTTTTGCATAGGTAAAGGTTAGGATTTCCGTGCTGTTAGGTTGAGCGTTTGAGCTGCCGCAATAAGTCAGCGGGAATGACCCCCCCGGGAGAGGCAGTACATGAGAGATGTAAGACTGGAGAGTGTAGTGCGACTACCGCCACAGTGTGCACCACTACTGTTGCTGCTGTTGTTCCGCCTCTGTTATTCAGGAGGACAGGCTGTGCACATCTCGGGGCGCTACTGCCGTGCACGGAGAGAACCCGAGAGAGGGTGAGGGACAGGGTAGGAGTTGTGAATGAAGGGAAGGAGGAGGGAGATATTGTAAAAACTCAAGGGGAGAAAAGAAGAAGTTACATAGATATAAAAGACCATGCGGCGGAAGCAGACAGGGGGATATAAGACAATCATGGAAAACTTAGGAAACAGGAGAGATGGTGAAAGAAAGAGAAGAACACTATGTCTGTGAGCAGTAACAGTATACGTCATCACGGTCACCCCACCCTGTTTTCTTCAGGCTACATCCATAGCTGCAACGGGGTGAAGACCCTGTCATCCACTCCCACCCCTCCCTCATCTCTGGAACATCTGGGGCTCTCTACCTGGTCATGGCAGGCCCCTTACCCCACCTCTGCCAGGGGACAAGATGGAGAGAGAGGGGATTAGGTTGACATTGAGGTGTGTTACCAGATCCTGTGTTAATGAAAAGCAAGTGGAAGGGCCGCATACCTCCCCTTCGTCCACGGCTCACCACTCCCCAAGGTAGAGGGGCATTTATAGTTCAGTGAACGAAGGAAGGGGGGCGGGGGGTTCTGAGAGAGAGAACATATGTCTTAAGGTCCATGAAACAAGACCCTCCAAAATCTCTCAGCTCTCCATCAGACTGCCCATAGATTGCCCCCGATTTCCTCAGAATGCACACACACATGCGAGGAACAACAACGCACACACTCTCACATTTTTAAGTGCTGTCCGTGGCCCTTTGCCTCTGCGGACCCCCTGCTTCTTCACGGTGATTTACTCCAGCATTAGTAAAGAAAAACGTCTGTTGGTTGAACAAAGTTAAAGCTACCCATTATTTATCTACAGTAATAGTCAAACGTTTGGAAAATTTTTCTCATTCAAATCAATGAGCATGCATCCATCATATTATTTCTGTTTCAATAGTCAGAGAGGAGATTTCTGTCTGGAGATACACCCCGCAGTGATCTGGCACAAGTTAACCCAACTAATAAATCCTTTTCAATGCATTAAAACATCAGCCAACCGATTAATGTGCGTCTTTCAGCTCCAGTACAAACAGTTTAACGTGACAAGCACAAAGACACGACAGCTGTTGAGACTTGCTTCCGACTCTTCAACAGAACAAACGTTTTGGTTTTAAACATGGTGGGAGTAACCCACCATAGATCCGAATAGCCAGCAGTCCTGGGCTAAATTCAGAATGTGGGCTGAAAAACCTAAATGTAGCTCATTAGGAAAAGAAAGACACATTTGTGCAATAATATACTAGTTTCTATGGTATTCAGAAGGTGTATGTTGATACAACTGAGCCGAGCTCTTAGTGCCCTAGACATGGGCCTGCAGCCCCCTATCCCGTTGGTTGTCATTTCTCCTTTGTCATCAATAATAAAAGCTCTACATTGTCTTAATTGAATAGTCACAGGTCATCATGGCCATCATGTTCTCTTCTAAGGAAGTTGGTCCTGAATACGTACGAGACTTGCC